CAAGTGCTTCTCGTTATTCAGCATTTGCAAACCAAAGTGGGATGGATGGAGGAGCAGTGCCAATCGTTGCTCCCGTAATCGCGTCTCTCCATCTGGCAAAACCTGTCAGAAGGGAACAGAGGCCAGAAGGAAGAACTCGCCTCACTTGCAATCAAAGCGCCTAAAATGCCAAGGCCCTTCGAGCTATAGGGGGAAAATTTGGGGGAGCTCAGCTGTGTGCTCGCTGCTCCTGCTGGGAATGCAGCCAGGCTCTTTGCTCCGTCAGATCTCTATTGATCTTCCACTGCTTCGCAGAGCTAGAGCAGTGGGCATGGTGGAATAGGCTGATGATTGATGGGCTGACGGTTGGGCTTGATGAGCTCAGTGGTCTTTTCGAACCATAATGACTCTACAGTTCTCTGATGTTCTCTTGTTTCACAGCCTGTGCAGCACTTTCCCCCCTGTTTGGCATTGGGCAGCCAAGGACAGAAGTCTAAAAGCAGGCAGGTTATTCTCCAAATGCACCACAAAACAACAGCAACAACGAGGTATGTTTTTGTTTTTAAAGCAATTTTTACTAGGTACTTGGTTTGCAGCCAGCAGCCTAATGCATCACTGAATTTAGCCCTGTCTGCTCTGCAGTGCAGTTACCCAAGAAATCAATGGCCTGACATACTTTCCTTTGCTAGAAAATACACTTTTCCTTGAGTGGGTGTGAAAACCGAGAGCTCGCCAAAACCTGCTCTGTACTGAAGAAAATTTCCCCTTCCATGGCCAGCATCAAAGGCGGCCTCAGGACAAAGGCTTCGCTCTGCTACTCATGTTCTGCTTTCAGGGGCTGCGCAGCTTTCAATGCCTACTGGTGGGCAGTTTAGCAGAGGGAAATGTCTGCTATTCTCTGGCTAAACACAACCCTATTCTGGTGTGAATTTGCAGTCCAGGTGGATTTTCTGGCTTTCTCTGTTCATGGCAATCATTCATAAAGCGTCAGAAAAGCTCTGTTGCAAAGCCCAGGCTGAGCATTTGTGTCCACGCGCTGGAGAATGCTGTGCTCCATTATAAACCCTTCTGGGAGAGAGGTGTGCAAACCTCCCCGCTCCTCTGCTAAATCTCAGCCTCACTGGGAAAGCCGAAATTTAAATATAACTCCTGACTTCATAGCAGGATCCTGCAGTTGGCCAATTGTTTAATACTTGGAGAACAGCCACCATAAAAAATAACAGAACAAAAGTCACAAAAACAGCCTCTGGATCAGCCTCCTTCCTGCCCATGTTTTGACACTGGAGGCGATTTCCAGGAATGCCCAAGCTGGAAACAAACCTGCTGCCCTCAGGGATGGAGCTGTGATGAGATGAGCCAGTGACAGATGGGTGCCACCACTGTGCAGTGCCTTGTCCCCCTGCCACGCTCTGCTGCTGTCATTTCCCCCACAGTGTGAGGTTCTTGGGATCCCCTTTCTTGTTGGCTTATAGGGTTATAGGATCATAAAATCACAGAACTATTAAGGTTGGAAAAGATGTCTAAGGTCATAGAGTTCAATCCCAATCAATCCCCACCATGCCCACTGAGCCAGGAGGGCAGAGGGAGCAGAGCCATGTGCAAAACTCCAGAAGAGAAGCACAAAACCCAGTGGCCATACTCTTGAGGTGGCTCATTTCTCCCATGCCCAGAGCCCCTGAAGCAAACCCTTTACCCACCCCAAAAGAGAAGTGCACTGATTGTATCACAGGGCTGTGGCTTTCCTGCCTGCCACAAGGGTTTGCACAGGGGTTAAGGACTGATGAGGAGATGAGCTCAGCAGAGTGCCAAGGGTGGGAGTGGGGATACACAAGGGAAAGTGATGCTTCAGAGCACTATGCTGGGCAGCAGCTCTCCGAGCTGAGATTTCCTATGTTGCCAAAGTTTTGGTGAATTGGTTCTCACTGTAAGGAAGGTATTGGTTTTCACAGGAATCCTAGGGGCTCAGCTGCCACCCTGCCTCCTTGCACCGGCATTTCTTCTTTCCTTTGCAAACAAAGTGCCGTATCAAACCGGCTGGTGCTGTTTAGAACAACTTCTGGCTCTGCAGGTGGCTGCCGAGTGCCGGCCTTGCTCAAAGCTTCCCTCTGCTCTGCCCAGGTGGCTGTGACCTGGAGAAGCCAAAAGCCTGCTCCTGTCCTCCCCTGAGACGCGCTGGTTGTGCAGCTGGGAGTTCTCTAAAGGATTTCACAGCAGCTGAGCTCATGCAAAATGGTATTTTTGCTTTGCCCTTTGCATGCCTTCCTTGTCCTTGTCCCTCCAGTTTCCCTCCCGCACTCCAGAAGAAGAGAATGATGGCAGACATGCCAGCTTTGAAAGCACGGAGTGCTTCAGCGAAGGCAGCTCATTACAACACGTTCTCACCGATGTCTGCTGCCCCTTATCAGCCCATCAGCCCCTGCACATTACCCTCTGGCTGCCACCAGACACCGCTCGTCCCCGGCGGCTGAGCCCTGGCTGCAGCCTGACTCACTGCGTGGGAGACAGTAATTATTCTGTCCGTGGCAAATTGGACCAGTAATAACCTTTCTCTTCATAGCAGTAGTGATGCTCTTTTAAAAATATATTTTAATTGATCGTGGATAATGAGTTAGACTGAGGGAGCGGGCAGTGGGGGGGGAGGGTGAGGACAGGATGGGGCAGATGGAGCAGGAGGAAGAGAAGGTGGAGATGTTACGCAGGGATGCTGCGGTGGGATGGATCCTGCACACAGAGGCAGCAGGTGAGGCTCACTGCAGTCCCATCAGGGATTTGTCCTCTCTCCTGGCGCCTAAGCAAGGGCTGCATCCCCCAGATGAGCAGAGCAGAGCAGAGGGTCACACACATGAGGTCCTGCTTCCTCCTCCTCCTCCCTCTGCCCACGCTGCGATGCTCTGCAGAGCCCTTCTGCTCTTCTCAGGGAGGAACAATTGCCCTTTCTCAAGAAATGTTTTGCCGTGAGCCCCTGATGTGTGTTGAAAGAGAAGCAAGCCTGATCCCAAAGCATGGTGACCTTCTCTGTGAGGCTTTGTTAGTCCTCAGAGCTTGCAAAAGGGATGTATGGGGGTTTTAATGCGAGACTATTATGTGCCACTGCAGCATTTCAAGTGCCACTACTCACAGAGCAGGGAGATGCCTCTGTTCTTGTTTCTTGCTGGGAAGAAAATGCAACAATGCTCTCTAGAGGCAGAAGAAGTCAAGAAGAGGCTCGCTTTTCCCACTCCACACTTCACTGTGACCTCGCTGCTCTTTGCAGCTGTTTATTTCCCACATAAACAGCAATTTCTGGGCATTTTGGCCTCTTGTGCTGTACCTCAGGTTGTTTATTTCACCCCACCTCAGGGCAATCTCATGTAATTAGTGCGAGGGAGGGGTGGGAGCTATGGTCCAGGTCAGGATGTGGCTCTGGGACTGGAAGGCCATGCAGGGCAATGGGAATGCAGAAACATGCAGGAAGAGATGTGCTCCAGTGTGGTCCAGCATCACTGTGGGGCAGGGAAAGCCTGTGGAGCTTGCGGAGGGATGCTTGTAGGGAAACATCCCTAAGGACTGATTCACCCCAGGGAAGGTGCAGCTGTAGTGAAACAGGAGCTGCAGGAGCTCAATCAGGCAGCAACTGCCCCTTAATAAAAGCCAGAGTGGGGCAGAGGAGCTGGTCCGGGGGGGGGGGGGGCCCCACTGTAGGTCTCTTGTTCTGGCTATAGCTTTGACTCTTGTAATATCTATCTATCCATTTATTTATTTATTTTGTAGGGAAGCTGTTGGAGAGCTCTGATCCTGAAAGATCTTTCTGAGGTGCTGAGTCCTGCCCATAGAGATGCTCCAGGAGTTCCTGGGTTGCATCAGCCAAGGCTGAAGGTCAGCTCAGGAGGAGCTGGGCCAGGTGCAGCTCCTGCAGTGGGGGGCTTGCAGATGCTAGAGCTGTGCAGGTGAACTGCAGGCAGGGAGAAGCTAGCTCCCTGACTCAGCAGCTGCAGTTCTGCTCTTCTAGAAACCACAGGTGAGGTCTGCACCCAGCTGCACTGGTTGCTGTACATAGAAACGTTTGGGTCCTTGGAAAGAGCATGTTGATTCTCACCCCATGTTATGCCAAGGCATGGATCTGGTGCATTGGTCCAATGGGTTTGCTGCTTCTCCCAGCTGGTACACAGAGCTGGGCAGCAATGGGAAGCCTAGACCACTTCTGGTCTATTTGGAAAAAAGAAATCCAAACAAACTATTTTATTTTACTGTCCTGGCTGGTTTCCAGCTCAATTACTTTCTGTCAATTCACTCTGCAATCCCGTATGTTGTTGTTTATATACTTTAGTGGCTCGTATTGCACATCTCTCAGCAACAGTGGCCCAACGAATGGCCCAGTTTGCTGAATTAATTGTGCTGGTGAAGGGCTCAGGTTAATGTATAAAATGTACTGGATCCCTGAATAAAGGAAACAAAGCATATTATATTATTGAACTGAACTGGGTGATTCCAGTGTCCCCAAGTGACCGAGATGTGATGAATCTGGGAGCTGCTTGAAAGCTACAGTAGAATGCTTTGGCTGGGTTCAGACCCAACTCACCACCATGGGCTGGCTGAAGAGAGGGAGATCTCCTGGCTGAGCCTTGCATCCTTCCCAGTTTTCCCAGTGTGTGGGTGAGGATAATGCATCTTGGGCATCTTAGTGTGTGTCTGTACGGCACCGCAGCCTGGATGCAGGTGGGTCTCACTAGGGAGGTAATTTAATACCAGTAACTGCAGTGGCAGTGAACAGCTTCTCTTGGTAGGCTGAAAGCAGGAAAAAGCTGATGAGAGTTTAAGGAACTTATATTTTCATGCTATTTTACTCAATCTGTTTAATGCCCATGGTAATGCAGCCAGCTGAGTTGTGAGGGATTGGTGGGCTGGGTGTGCACAGCTGTAGTGCATCTTCTCATTGATTTGTGCTATGGGATTAACAACATACAACACCTCTAGATAACAGGTGATATATTGGTTTAAGTGCCTGGTATTCCTGAAAATTAGGAGCTCTGGTGCAGTTGCTGCAGGAGTGATGCTGAGCTGTGCCATCTTACAGAGGCCCGAGCCCAGTCTGGAACAGAATGGGGTAGGACTAAAGGGTGGTTTGGGGTTGGATAGCATATCAGTGTTTCCTTTTGGGTGATAAGGAGCTAAAACTTACTTAAATTTTGCCTTCAAGTTCAGATCTAGCTGATGACAATTCTGAATAGTGCTGGGCTGGAGCTCTGTCAGCAAAACCCATGTGTGCTGTCACCATGTGCACCTGCACTGCTGCTTGTCTTGTGCTTCTGTTATTCCTGCTCACTTTCCTATTGCAAAGTAAGTGCCATATTTTGTGCCTGCTGTTATTCAGAGACGTGATGCACCTGGGTACGTCTCCCTGCACAGCAAGGGAGGGTGTGTGGGGCTTTGTGCCAGCGTGGGTTGATCTGCACAGAAGGGCAGCGTGTGTTAAGTTGTGCCAGATGAAAGCATTTCTATTTGGAAAACCTTGAGCTGGTTTAATTTCACGGGGTTCTGTGCTCTGCTGAACTCAGTTGATGTGACACGAGCATGGGACTCAGTGGCTTAATGAATCCTGCTTCCACGAGTCATCGCCCTGAGCCTGTGTTTCTGGTTGAGCTCTTGCATATGTTGCATCTTGATTTCAAGGCTGAGTGATGCGTGATAGATAGTAAGCACCCTGAATGTCCTTGTCAGGTTGGGAAATTACCCTTGCATTTAGAATCTGTGCCTTATTTCTAGTTCTGGCTTGTTTTTACTTCTGGTCCCAGCTCTGAAAGCTCATTATGACTTTTGCTGCTGCATTAAGGAGATATGTGTTGTCAGGAGAGCATCAGGTGAGAGCATCCCAGGGACCCTTGGGGTTGGGGAGACTCTCCAGGATGGGGATTCTGTGCTCACTGATATGTGCATCGCTGGCTGTGCTGTGGAGAGGACCCCAGTGTTTGTTTAGCAAGGAAATGCTGCATCCAGAAGGACGTGGTGCTTGTGTTGAGGTTTCCCATTAGGACTGCAGTTCCCTCTCTGCTGTCTCTAGCCTGCTTTGATGCATGGTGCTGCCAGCTAATGAAATCTGATTAGCACCAAGTGCTTCTTCCTCTCTTCAGTGATTTGCAGTGTTCTTAATGTGATGCCTGCTAATGACAGGGGAAGAAGCTAAACCAAGTTATTTTCCCATTGACTAAATGGCAGCTCACATTGCTCCTAAAGGCAGTGAGCAGGGAGGACACCTTCAGGCTGCTGGATTGAGCCCATTCGTTCTGACTGCTCAGAGCAGGAGAAATGGGGGAGATGATTTGATATCTGGTCTTGGCTCAGGGTCCTGGAGCCTGGGATCCTGGAGATTCTTTTTGCAGTCTCCATTTTTTGCAGTGCAACTTGCAAGAGATCCTCAGGGTCGTGTTTGTGCAATCCCCAGCCCGAGTTACAGAGCTGGTGCATTCCCCAGCTGTGTCCCTATGGTGCTCAGGACCTCTCGCTGCCTTTCTTTGCCTGCATACTTGCTGAGGCTCCTAGAGTGGTTGGAGTGATTGCAGAACGTGTCTATGCAGCAAAAAGTGTAACAAGCCCCAAGCCTCCTCCTGGGCTTGCAGAGTGCGTCATCAGTTATGTCTGCAAAATGCTGCAAACGGGGCTGGGAAATGCAAGTAAGATCTCCCCTCTGTCGTCAGCAGTGCTCGTTCTGCATGCAGACTGCAGATGTCTAGACGAGGGGAAACGCAGCAGAGGCACTGAGATGGTGCAAAAAAAGAAAAAGCTTTAGCCAAGCCTTAGTGCCTGTCCTGGTGCACCAGGGGAAAATAGAATAAAGCAGGTTTTTCCTTAATACATATATATTTTTCCTGATGAATGCATGCTTTTCTGCAGGATTTACTATACTGAGTCTCTTACGCTGTTTCCACGGGGCTTGTTGAATACCTCCATATTCTCTGGCAATTCTGCCTTGGCCTCTATGGAGAGTTGTTCTTTTTCATGCTGCAATTTGGTGTAAAATTTAACTGCGAATGAGTGCTTTTGTGGAGCAATCCCACCATGTGATCTGCTCACTGTGATCATCATAACTCCATGCTGATTACTGACATCACAGATAACACTGCTAGGTGCTGAAGCAGTTCTCTATGTTCCTTTCTCTCCCTGCATTCCTCTTCCCTTCTGTGCAGCATCCCTTATCTGGTTTCTGATCGTGAATGCCACCCAAGATTTGCTGCTTTCTTACAACGCTGTGAACAAATGCTTTGGAAGGCAGTCCTGTGTGTAACATAGCCCAAAATAGCCTATGGTTAAAACTTGTGATGGTCTCTCATTGAGACTCATGCTGAGGGATCTGCTGTAGGTTCTGTGTTGGTGTTTTCCACACCTGATGTTCCACAGGAGGTGATGATTTAATTCTGCTGAAGCCATACGTTTTCTATAGCTCTCCCAGAACAGTAAATGGGACTGGTTATCCCAAAGAGCCAGGGCTGTAACAGCTCAGAATTGTCAAACTGTAAGCGAGCATAAAAGGCTGAAGAGTGAAGCCTATGGAAATGGTGTGGCACCATGCTGGCCTGCCTCCTGAGGGGTATTTTTTTAATTGTGAGAGGGATTCTCTCAGCTCTGGAGATGCTCACCCAGCCAAGGAGACCAGTGCCCAGGTTAGCTCATGGGAGAGGCAGAAGATGAAACACTTGCATCCTTTACATCCCAGTCTTCCCTAGGACTCTGTTCACACTCATCCTCCTGCCTGTTTCTTTGAGCTGACTTCTGTGAGCTGTATCTCAATCAGGATGTTAATTTTAACCTTTTCTTGAAGGCTTATCTTTCACTCTGCTTCATTCCCAGAAATGCTGGCTCCCTATGAGCATGTCCCCTTCACCTTCAAACTTTCCCGTGTCACAGAGGTCTTCACGGTTTTGCAGTGCTGCTGCTTTCTAATGGTGCAGATGGAAACCTGGATACAGGGAGTGATTCAGCCCTGGTAAAGCTGGCACCAGGCTGAAAGGCTGGGAGTGGTGGCAGGGGTGTCCCAGTGCTTTGTGAAGCCATGGGGAAGCTAACAGGGCAGGTGGTGAAAGGAAGCTCTGCTTTGCTAGAAACCAAGGCAGGGTCTGTGCTGCTTTCCAGGCACAGCTGCCGTGACTCATGGGATTAGATCACAGATCTGCCTAAGCAACAGCTTTTGAAGCTCATCTTCTAATTTAGATGATTCGTTTGTTTCTCTGAGTGTTTTCTGAAAGTCTGCCTCTCTGCTGTTCCTCAGAGAGGTTTTTCAGTGTTGCCGTGATGTCTTTCTCTTACAGCCCTGGAGCAGCTGGGTGCAGCCACGAGGACAGGGCATGGTGATGCAGGGTGGTGAGGACAGGACCCCAGGGAGATGCCCACGTGGATTGGCTTTGCCTCAAGAAGTGTCTGAGCAAGAGCTGCTGACGGCTTGCAGGCAGAGTTAATATTCCCTGTGTGGGCTTTCTGTAGGCAGTAAGACAGATGTCAGCCTCCTGGAGCCACAGGTGGCTTCTCCTTGATGAGCAGAATTGCTCCTGCCATGGAGTAATGTTGCAGCATGGCAACAATGTGGTTCAAAATAGAAGTTTGTCCAATTGTGCGCACAGATGGATGCAGAAAACAAGGGGAAGTGGTGAGGAGCCTGTTAGCTTGGAAAGAGTCTTTGCTTTCTCAGTACCCACTGACACGTGCCATTCTTATTCTGAGCTTCAAAGCAAAGGCTGTGAAAAGCAGGTTGTCTACCATGGAAAGAAGAAATGGTTCCGGGTTAGTGATGCACGTCTGCTCACACTTTTTGCTGTGGAGAAGATTGCTTTGCACCCCCGGCCCCCCCCCCCCCCCCCCCCATCCACTGTGTGGGTAACCCATGCCCTTGTGCTGCTTCAACCTGCGTGCTCCTCCCCAACCCCATTGTAGCAGGGCTTACTGCTTAAATGAGGAAAAACCATCTGCTTGTCAATTCTCCTGGTGGAAACTGTTCAGGAATGATGTTAAAAGGAAAAATACAGTTCTGTGGTAGCGATGTTTTCAAATGGGTGCTTTCCATTTTTTTTTTTTCCCATTGACTATCGCTGTCTTATTAAGTACCAGTTACTAATTAGCCTTCATGTCTCATTAAAATCATAGCTTTTTTTTTTTTTTACCTACTGAAAATTGCAAATAGCCTTTATTCTGGTCTTTAATGCATGTTGATTGAAGTATTTATTGAATGCCACTTATGCAGCTCTGTGGCTGCATTCATTTTCTTCTTAAGACATTTACTAAACCGTTGCTTAGAATTACTCCAACCCATCTGGCCTATTAAGTGTTTGTGCAGAGTGTACCCGATTTTCCCATCCACTTCCTCAATTAATACTGAATATTCAAGAGCACGACGTTTTTTCCTCCCTGCCGTCTGATCTTTCTGCCACCTACTGAGGTGTATTTGGGTAGGACTGCTGCTCTAGCAATGGATCTCAGGGGATGGACATGGGGTTGGAGGCGAGGGCGGTGGACTCAGTTTTGTGCAGTGATCTCAGCGGGCAGATGGCCCCGTGAATGGGCACCTTCAAAGACAAAGTTATTCTTGCGTAGTAGGAGAGGATGTCCTGGAGGCAGGGATTGAAATCCACCCCGCTGGCTGTCAGCTCTGGAAGCGGCCCCAGATCCTGAGCAGGAGGAGGTTAGAAGGGATTAGGAATGAGCTCTGCTGGCAGGGCTCTGTGGGGAAGCACTTGCACAAAACCTGCCGGCATTAGGCATGACAGCAACATGATTTTACTTCTGTAGTCATCCGCACAAACAAAAATGAGAACAGAACATGTCACTTGCTTTTGCTGATTATCCGAAGCAGGCTGAACCTGGTGCCAGCAGCAAAATTGGGGCTAAGAATGAATGTAAATGGCAGTAAAATATTCACAGCAGGGTTGAGGGCAGAAAGTAGCTATTAGCTCTGAACAAGATCTGAAATAAGTCAGGATCTGCCTTTATAGCTCTTCCTGTCAGGTAGGAAAAGGTGCTTCCTGGCCCATCCCAGCTGTAAATCTGTCTGGAGGCAGTTTAAGTTTGTCTTGGAGCTTTGTTCCATACCTGGGAGTGGGATGGGGTCCTGGATGCCCTCTCCTTCTGCAACTCTGCAGACCAGAGGCTGATGGAACTATTGGCAGCTTGTCTTAATGAGAGAACTGTGCGAGCATGAAGCAAAATCAATGTTTGAGCACTTGGTAGAAACTGTGTGTTTTGCCTGTTTGTGGACAGACCTTAGCAGGAACAGGGAAGAATCAAACCAGAACAATTAAAGCAAATATTCCAGTACATCACCAGTGAGTCTGCAGCCTAAACCAAAGCACTTCTAA